CTTATTAAGAGAGAATAAGCATTACCTCAACCATGGAAAATAATTACTTTTTTTTTTGTTTTTTTAATTTTAAATAATAGTTCAATTTACAGAACTAGTTTACAATGAGAGAAAAAAAAAAAAAAAAACTATGAAGAACTAAACTATATTACAAGATTTAATGATGAAATTTCAGTTCAAAATAGAGAAAATAAATAATAATAAGGCATATTTATTGTATTCGCTTGGATCCTAATAAAAAGAACAATTTATTTTTCCACTCATATTGATATTTAAATAATTTAAATCTAAATTCTGAACATTTTCTAAATTTTCATTGTATATCAGTTTTTTTCTTAACAGATATTGCAAGCAAAGTAATTTAAGTAAAAAAGAGGAACATTTCTGAAATCAGAAGACAGAAATTTGCTTCATTCAGTCATCTTTAACAGTAAAAGCTTAACTAACCCGCAGACTTGGAAATTGGCGAATATTCGGACAGTTGAGCGTAACTTGAAGGAGTGGATGGGGGGGGGTAGACTGTAACCGCTCTTTAGATTTTTCCACTAAATAAATGCTTTTGACATTTCAATATGTGCATCATATAAAAATAAACCAACCGAACTAAAAAATATTCCGCTTAGCAAGCACGGTAAAACTCTTTTAAGTGCTCATAAACAAATCTTGGACTGAACATCAAAATTAATTATCTCTGCAAAATATCACAAACGTTATTGCTCAATACGTGCACCGTAATTCTTCCCTACGTGATATTATGCAATCGGAATCAACAACTGCCGGTATTGGGAGAAAAAAACTAAATAACTGGAGTGTTTTTCATTCTAATTTTCAACAGAGGGCGTTAAATTTCCGGAATAGAATCATTCTTCGCTTGGGTTGGTAGACCGCAGAACTTTTAGTCCTATTCAATCCAAATTGGAAAGTCACCCCCCCCCCGAAAAAAAAGGTCCGTTGCTTGTTTTGCAGCGAACTGTAACAGTTTCAATATTCAAGATTTTGCGGAGAAAGGGGAGACCTCCCAACCTTCGTACTGTATAATGTATTGGCCAAAAAAATTGAAACTATTTTGACCATTCGATTACTTTTATTTAAGCCAATAAATTAATTCGATTACTTTTATTAAGGAAATAAAAGTAATTCGATTACTTTTATTTCCCTTTATTTAAGCCATTCCGAATATTATTCCTTAGAAAGCTAATCTGTGTTAAAACACAACCATTTTTGGAAGTTTACTATACTTCAGCAGTTACTGCAACTATGTTATTATAAACATTCATACATATGCTCATAATGAACTGACCAAGCAGAACGAGAATGCAAATCTTTTTAAGATCTTGATAGAAATTCAAACGTGTGTAGTATTTGGGTGGGAGGATGCCGAATGTAGCGGAATTTTCTACTGCTTTCGCAATTCTTTGACCAATAGAACGAGGGGCACCTGTGTGTACTCTTCGTGCACACCAAAGGTTATGTTAATGCAGAGAAAGGGGGAAAAACTATTCTGGGAGTATGACTCACAATCTGACATTCCATATTAGGAAGAAAAGTTGTTTATTTAGTTTTGGCTTTGGTACGGGAAAAAATAGCACATTCATAGAAAAAAAAAAAAAAAAAAAAAAAAAAAAAGCACTAAAAACAAAAAAATAAGGGCTTTAAAGAAAAAGTAAGCACCTATAAGGGTCTTTGTATTTTATTTTCAAATATAAGGATTTATAAGCACTTATAAGGACTGCTACGAACCCTGGAATCCATCCCACCCAGACAAATAACGACAGAGGGCTTTAGACGTTACTGATAGTGTCAGTCTGATTCTATCAGTGGCGCCTGGAGTCCCTCTATTGGCCTCTTTCTGATCTTATATTTATAGTTGTAATCGGCTGTACTTAACTTTATTTTAACTCATGTTCCTTTAAAAGGGTTCTTAATATTTAATTATAAATCTTCTTAAAAGAGGTTTTTAAACCTGGCCTTAAAACTATTAACATTATACTAAAATTAGAGAGCTGTTTTAGTGAACAACATACCAAATATGATCCAACGTTATATTTGAATTTGCCGCCCGGGGCAAGAACCCTGGCTTACCCCCCCTCGCTAGATCCGGGACTGATTACTGTAGTACATTATGCATAAATTGTATATCTTCTAAGTTTTATATAAAAGATGTTCCCCACAAAATTTCACAATCTTTTATTGTTTTATTGAAAGCTTACTTTGGAATCATACTCATTCAAAAAGTGCATGCTATTTGTGGACTTATTTTTATCTTGTGGACTTACTGGCTTCAACAGACTTTAGCCAGGATTTTCATTCAACTTCAACTATTTTTACAAAAGGACTTAAAAAAATTTACTTTTCAATGGACATTTTGAAGAAAATTGAAGACTTTTATGATTCAAATTTATTATTTAGTATTATTACATATATTATTATCTTACAGTTCTAAATTACATGTTTAGTTATAAATTATATGTACCTATTGTAAAATTCTATAACTAAGCATTTTCTAATTATATGAGAAAGATCATGAGTTATGATAGGGCATAGTTAAAGCCTGTAAGCTATGCCCTGGATGTTTTTCTCCATATCTTTCCTCATGCTCTAAAATTTTTTCTTGCTTCATTAAAGTACTAATGCTTTGCTCTCCCAGCCGCTCGTTTTGAGGGAAGATGAAAAATATACAAAAATATGATGGCTTTGCTCTATGCGAACAAGCAACCTCTAATTAACTTTCCGCAATTTCAGGATCTCCCCTAAGACCAGTACTTTCGAGAACATTCTAGCATGTTTTGTAACCACTACTTTAAATGTAGAGTTCACACCATTTTTCATCAGACAACTTTCTCCTTCTACTGCTATCAGACCTTTGCCGCCGCTCTTCCCATTCTATCTTCCTATTTAGTTTAAATTACTATGACATACGTAATCTTGGAGAATTTAACAGAATAATGATTTGCCATTGGAATTGAATAAAGATGTGCAATTAAATTAAAATTCTTCTGTGTTGTCATTCTGATGTGTAGGCCACTCAGCCACAACAATGTCCGGATTTTGGTGCCAAGCCTTCATTCATGTGCCCAACTGCCAAAATATGACATATATAAGGATAGAATTTTGAAATTATTAGAGAGGTACAGATTGCTCACCTTTCCTTGTACTATTTATGCCCAACTCTTAGATTATCTGAAACGGCTTTAGCCTTTTGTTAGCTGTGTTTACTTGCATAATTAGAGGGGTTAAACCAAAGCTTACAGTAAAACTTTGCTGTATGAATTACATGTTTTAATTACTTAAGTTTAACTTTGACTTTATATTATATGAGATCCTTCATGCAACAATAACTTATTTTGTAACAGTATATAAGCTGTGTAATTTGTGAAGTTAGAAATAGGAACCAGGGTTGTAGAGTCGGTAGAGAAAATGACCAACTCTCTCATATATATATATGTAAACATATACACATAGGTTACAGCTTATTTTTTTAATATAAAAGAAGTAATAGATGCTACAGAAAAAAAAATGATGGCATAGCAAATTATTTATATTAATTAGCATTTATTATGAAACGGAAAAACTGGCATTAGTTATTTTGAAGAAACAGTATAGCTTCGGCAAGACTTTCTTTGTTGGAGGGCCATAGATATGATTCGATAAACTTCAGAGCTGAGAAGAGTCTTTCCTAACTTGAGTAGGAGGAAGAGCTGTTACTGTTAGGGCTACTTCTTTTAACTTTTCAGGATAGATTTTTTATAAGGTCTAAAAGAGGTGTCTTGCAAGCAATAATTATGATAATTATGCATAACTAGAGAAGATATTTCTCAAGTTCTTCAAAGGCTGTGTATAAATCTTGTTTGTATTTTTTCATTTTTATATCTAACGGCTCTTGGTTCTTTATTTTCATTTCTTTGCCTTAGCCTTTTCAATATTAATCAAAATATAATTCATCTTTGGAAGAGGATGATGGAGACTTAATTGAAATGTCTGTAGTTTGACTGTCCTGATACAAACTTTCCAGTTGTTCTGAGAACAATCTGCTCGCTTCCTAAGAATGACATCAATTTTGGGAGTTCTTGCTGCTATTGCTGCTTACCTAAATTTACCAGTGAAATTTGTAACTAAATAAATAAATTTAATCACTAATGGCAAATATCACATCCATTCTCCTCCCTTATATCTATTTATTAATATTTCAATAAAATAGAAAATAACTATTTATTAATGTATATAGTCCATAAATAAAAATAATAACTCAGCTTATCATTAATTTTTTTTCAATTCATTTTAATTTCATTTCAAATTCAAACTGTCCAACAAAAACTAGAGTTGGAGTCGACCTGTTTTTAGCGACTCCAGCTCCGACTCCTTTTACCCCAAAATCTGCTGGACTCTGATTCTGACTCCACAGCCCTGCTTTAAACCTTCTTTAGAGTTAATAGTTATCTCCAGAACACAACAACAACAACAACAAAAAAAAAGAAAAAAAATTGGGATAATAAGTTGCCTGACTGTTTACACAAAGCGATAAGTTAGCTTTGAGGTATATGCTGGTTCTGGCATAACTCAGATTCATTGGGATAAAGGAAACGTATACAACATGTAAATAAAATCACTTCAATGCAATTACTAGTATGGAACATGCTGAGATAAAATTTACAGACTCACTGAATCAAATGCAAAGCTAAATGAAATAGTATGTTACTTCAATAGGTTAACCATTTAAATAAATACTGGTCTTGCTGAACAGAATTAACCATTTAATGCCTTATTGGCTTATAACAGAATCTGAGGTTTAAAAAAAAAAAAAAAAAAAAAAAAAAAAAAAAAAAAAAAAAAACCCAAATTTTATGTAACAATTTGAAAACTCATAAATAAAAAGTGGAAAAGCAACTAATTATTTATAATTATGCATTAACTAGTAATTAAAACAAAACCAACAGAACCACCTGATTTAAAATAACGACAAAACAATGTATATTATATTGAATAAAAATGCTAATGCACACCTGCAACAGTTTTATAGCCTGTTGTTCCAAACTTATTCCTTCCACATGTTCTATAATCCATGCAACGGCTTCTGCACTGATAAAAGTACAGCTTGGCCAACCCGATTTTGAAAGGAAATTCAGTCCTTCTCTAAAAAATATTTTTAAATAGTTAATCTATTTATTAAAAATTTTAGGAAAAGGTAATTTTAAAAATTCCATGATATTAACCTACATTTTAGTGATATTTTAGATAAAAAAGTTAGAATTTATATACATGTATAACATATAGAATATACAGTGTAATCTTGATTATCCAGACTAATGCTGGGTAGGAAGGCCATGGATAACTAACAAACATGTTTAATCCAAACCATTTATTTTCAAACACATTGTATGTTTATTTCTTAAAAAAAAAAAAAAAAAAAAAAAAAAAATCAGTAATTTAATCTTGTTTTTGAGAAAGCTTAAATATTTGTTGAATTTCCTTGTGTAAGTTTTGAATTGCTATTTGCAGTGTTCGTACACATTTCTGCACACAGAAATTAAGTACTTTTAAGGACTTTTAAGGCCCATTAATGAAAAAGATTAAGGACCTATGAGCAAATGGGAACAGAATAAATTAAATTAAAAATATTATCTAAGCCTGAATTTCACTTTTGTAACATCATCCTAAAAATAAAATAGATCCATAAGTAGTATGCAGTATTACTAAACCTGAATTAATGAACATAACTATTTAATAAGTTTAAGCATAAAATAACCTTTATGCAATTCATCAAGTACCATTAAATATTTTACACTTATAATAGTTGGTCATATTTGAAAGAAGATAGGTGGCATTTACATTTTACTAACAGTTAGCTTTATGTTGATTTTTTTATGTCTAATTTTGTCACATACTTGGTCAGTCTAGAGGTTTAGCAGGTAGATTTTATGTCAAACGGCATAGGTTAAAATGAGAAGTAAAATCATAATCAGCATGATTCAGAACAAAAGACTGAATGTTGTCACTGCTGCTGCTTGTCTAGAGAGAGACCCGCTGATTAGAACAAACCAGAAAGGCCTGATGTAGGCATGGTTGGCAACTGTTGAAAGTTAGGCTCCGTTTGATGCAGTTAGTGTCGTAGCTTCATGTAGAGTTCGAAGGGTTGTAACCCAGTTAATATACTTTATAAGGCATTAAAGCACCAGAGGTAATAAGTTGTTTTGTATTATTTTAAGTCTCAGTAGATGCAAAGAATAAGTTTTACTTGAATTGCTATATTTTCGTATTTTATCTTGTGACCAAAGTGAGTATTACTGAAAGGCAATAACTGGCTTTAGTATGTAGAGATAATTTTTTTTTAACAATATTTGTTAAAAAAAGCCCTATTAAAATCAAAATCTAATAAAATTTCACAGTTTAAAATACATGTAATTTATGACATTGATTCTTAAACGATATTAGAATAGTTACACATTAAACGCTACAAAACATTTATGTTTTGTAACAACAACACTCAATAAAATATTTATCCATCATTTTAATTCGAAGCCTTCCCAGACATTTTGGCTAGTTTATATCAATTTCCTTTTCTTTAAGCATCTTTTCTAAAAATTAGAAATTTGTTTCAATATGCAAACGAATGCTCTCCCTAGTTTCTGCGTGCTTTATCTCCTAACTTGTCAACCTCTCCACAATGTACCTATGAGGGTTTACTTGATCTGGTAAAAGTTATATAGTCCAAAACCGCCGACAGACATGAAGCATATTATTGCTATGTCTTGTCAACCTCTCCACAATGTACCTATGAGGGTTTACTTGATCTGGTAAAAGTTATATAGTCCAAAACCGCCGACAGACATGAAGCATATTATTGCTATGTCTAAAAGTAACTACAATATCAGACAAAGGTTTAAATAAGCCTCTTATTTAAAAAGAACTTAGTAGTATAAAGGCATGTTCTGATGCTAACAAAATCAATTATAGCTCACGGTGATGAAATTAAACAACAGCAGTCTAATTCAAACTAAAAATGTATAGAGGTCAAAGATTATACAATTTAATTAAAATTTAATCTGGCTCAGTAACTTTATCATATGAGGAAATAGAAACGGGAAATTATAGTAAAGGCTGAAATCATAAACAATTGGGTAATTTACATAATAATAACTGCATATATCTTTGAAGAATAATTTCTTTATATACTCAGTTTCTTTCTTCAACATGTTTCCTTTTCATTTTAGAATTTTTGGATTTAATTAAGGATTTCTGATATTCTAAAAAACACTAAATGAATTTAGAATGTTCAGAAAATGCGGCTAATTTTATTTTAGTAATATGAACACTCAGAAGAAATATGAAATATATATGGTAAAGGCTGGTTACAGAACTGATGTGGCAGAATTTTTAGAATTTAGTGACACACCGAACAACAAAATCTAGAAATGGCAATACTTTTAGAACTTAGAGCAGGCATTGGAAGCAGAATTTAGAAGAGCACTAAGCAGCAGAATTTAGGACCCACAGAGATTGCATCAGGTGGGAAATGCCTAGTGCCAGCTATGTGTATGATGCATTAAGACATATTAGATGAATGTTTTAAATTACAGGTTTTCAATTTCTTTATTAATAAAAAAACTCTTTCTATAATGCCTGCCCATGTAATAAGATTACAAGCATTTTTGATATTTTCCATGCTTGTGTCTAGTGAAAAGTAGAGAAAATAAAGGGAAGATTAAACATGTTAAGAAAAAGATTCTAGTATCAGAAGTAAAACATTCAAATATTATGTTTTCATTGTTCTTCCAGACATTCTCCAAAAAGTAAGAAATTCATCGCACATTTTCTGTAAAATACATCCATTACGTGTTGATACCATGGAGACATTTTTCACTTTGTCACATATTTCTCGAATCTCCTAGAATCGTGGGTCCATAAATCTTGCCTTCAAATCCTTCTAAACTTTCCAAGCTGCAATGTCTAAAATCCTAAAGAAAAATTATCTGTACCAATTCTGTAAAAGCAAAAAGGCAGAAATATTTTGGAAAAAAAGAAGGAGGGAAAAAGTACAAAATTAATTTTATAGAGAAAACTGATGCATATTCTGAGAATTTTGAATATTCTGAGGCAATCATATGGGAAATACTCTACTATGAAATACTTTACTATGAAAACTAATACTTTACTATGAAAAAATTAAAAAGAAGACATTTTTAATTAATTACATAGCTCATTTTGCTTTTGCTAAAAGCTCTTTTGTAAATTGTGCTTTATAGCAAGCATTATACCTTGTTTATTTTTCAGATTCAAAATATTGTATAATAAGTTGCCAAAATAAAACTTATGACAGGGAAAAAAATGTTTTATTTTATTGTTGTTTTTTAAATATAATTTCAATATATTACCATTATTTTAATGAAATTAATTAATGTTAGGATGTTTAAAAAAAAAAACGTTGAAAAATTCCTAAATCTCGGATTTAAAAATTATCTATAGAAACTGATCTCAGAATTGCTAAAATGTTGAAAAGTCGCCAAATTTAGAACCGTTTAAAAAAAGAATTCACATCCCTGAAAGCGAAACGTTTTTTAAGAGCTCTCTTTATTAAAGAAAATTAATTTCAAAATGCTTATGTTTCATTTCTTGCTTAGAAACTCAAGTATCTCATCATTTATATTAGAAATAGAAACAAATTATAACTCATGAACCCATTCAAAAGATAACCATATATGCATCAGTCAATCGCCAAAAATATTCCTCCAAAATGTTAATTCACACTCAAAATGGCAGTCGTAAAAACAGACAGAAATTTCAGATGATTAAAATTAAGGACCTTCTGCTGATTTTGGCCAAAATTAAGGACTTTTAAGGACCAAAAATCGATTCCTAAAAACTTAAGGACTCTTAAGGATCGTACGAACCCTGTATTTAATCATTGTATCTGAATTCTCTTTGGGTGATTGAATCCAACATAGTTTCAATAAAAGTCACTGCTGTCTTGAGACTAATGTAATTGTTGATATCATCTCTGCTTATATTTTTAGTGCCACTCTTTGCTTCTTCTGTTCTTGTGACACATGACAAAATCACGAACAGTTAGTGTGTCAATTTCATGTTCTCCGACAAGGTTTATTATTGATTTGCCGTGTTCAAACCTTTCAATTAATGCCAGTTTCTGTTTTAATGTTAAAACAATTTTCTTGCACTTAGTACTTACAGCATGCTTTTATTCATTCTTTTAAGTTGTCAGTGAATTTCTAAAAGAATGAAAAGAAAATATGCACGAAAATACGTATGAAACAAAAAAATCTCAGTGATTAATCAAAACAATACCTTCAACTATGCACAAGCAGAACAAATTGTATGAGATAATCACTGAAACAAAACCTACAGATGTAATCCAATAGTTTGTAGAATATGCTCAGACTTGTGAGTGGGCACTGTCATGCATGAATAATCAGTAAACCAGACAATCCACATCTGGATAATCAAGAGTACTACTCATAACTGGTACACACAGACTAGAAATAAGTGTATGTAGATAAAATCCCAATAGGTAACATTTTTTATATAATAATAATATACTTATTAAAATATATAGATGAGATTTTTACTGAAAGACAATAATATGACTGATATATCAAAGTAATCAACAATAAGGAAAACGACAAGAGCTATTGCAATTAAATTTTCAAATGACAGAATAATTAATTAGAGCTTAAATACAATATCTTTAGAAAACTATCACTAGAAAAATATTTCCTTTTTGAATACGTTTAATATTAGCATTGTTATTTAGTTGCTTAGTGAAAATCTACTTTGCGAATTACTTTTTTGAGCAAAGAAAAAAATTACATATTAATTGGTTATTATTATTATTTTTTAATGATTGAGACTACCCACAAATAAGTTTTCTGAACTACCCACAAATAACACTTCCAAAGTAACTTGCTATAAATGATCCTCCCTAGAAATTATGGTCTTCCCCAGCACTTATCTATCTTGCATATGAAACACACACACGTACACACATATATAGTTAGATTACATAGACATGAATAAACTAATTATGAGGTAAAGTAGGTAGGTGCATAGAAAATGTTTTTACAGTTATTTATATTACAGAAAACATCTCGAGTTACATCATATATTGTCGTAATCAATCAACATTAAAAATTATATATGCAAGGAAAACAATAATGTTGACTGTTCTGGTATATACCAAGGATATTTTAAGTATATGTTGATTGCCAAAATTGAGTGATTTATGGTAATATATCATCTAAGTAAATTTACTGAAATTTTCTTTAAGTAAATTTGGTTTACAAAATTTTTAATTCTAATACCATAAATGCAGAATACTGAATTGCATACATAATTATTTTTGTGTAAAATACATAGCTCAAGATATTAAGTGAGTGTGTTACTGGGTTGCATTATCTTAATGTAATATGATAGAACAAAAATAGACCAAATAGAGGCCAAGCTCAATAAATACTAATGCATGTACAAGAATTTAGACATCATGAATAAATCTCATGCATGAAAACTGATGGATATTAAAGTTAAAACAGGAAGAACATTAAATTGATACTGCAAGTGAAATTTGGCCCATGGTTCCTATAATTTTTTAATAAAAACAGCTGAGCTGTAGCATTACAGTTAATGCATGCTGGAAAATGTCCTTGATGGAAATCAATGATTAACAAATCTAATGCGTCACATTAAAACTACCTGCCTACCAATATTTATTTACAAATGAATGCTTTCATGTTTTTATGTATCACATTCAGACATATAAATACTTTAAATTATCCTACACTATAAACTTCAAGCATTTATTTATCCCACAATCTTATAAATAAAAATAGCATTCATGATTAAAATTGCATATCTCCTTAGAAGAGCACTAGAAAGTAAATGTAAGACAAGTAAGTTTCACAGAAGAAATTAAAGGAATAAAGAACCAACCAATTGCCAATCTGGCAATATCTTTTAGAAATATATATATAGACTTTTAGAAATACATATTTTTAATAATTGCAAGTTTTCATTCTTTTTTGATAATACACTCATTTGATGTAATTTATAAGGCATTTAATTGATAATTTTTATATAAAATTTATATCATTAGTTAATTAATAAAATATTGTTTGAATGCTATGTATTGTGCTTTCAGACTAAAAAATAACAGTTTACATCATATTATAGTTAAACTTAATTAGAATAAAAAACTCAGTAGGATAAATGGACACAAATTTTATGTTATTATTTTCAGATGATTAAGAGCAAAAGAAGAACATCAAAAGTTGTTAAGGAAAACACTCACTGAGTATGCTTCATAGCTTGGATTATTTCAATATCATTTGATGCTTCATTTAATTTCTTCAGCTCAGAAGGAAAACTAATAATTTAAAACATTTAAAAAATAAATAAATAAACTGTACAACAAAAGCAATGACAAGAATTATTTGAGACTAAAAAAAAAAGGTACATCATACTTGTCTTCGAGATTTTCTCCTCCAGTTATTGGGGCTAAAGAAACATCAGATTTTGGAATAGTTATCTGAAAAAATTTTCAACATAAGCAAACATATTAAATATACAGTAATATCTCCCAATAAAGGACACCTACTGGACCAGACATTTTGTCCCTTAAATAGAGGTGTCCCTTCTTCAGAGGGTACACACTAAAAAAATGTAATTCGATTAGAAATTCAGGCTGTATCACGCTTTAGTCAAGTGATATATAAATATGTAACATAATCACATATGTTTACTTGAAGTTAATGAAAAATAAACATTCTGAATTAAGAAGTTTAATTATTACAAAAGTGCATAAAACAAATAATTGAGTTTTGTACTTAGAGAAATTTATTGAAAATAAACCATTACACAAGAATATTTGTAAATCTGTGCAGCAGGCATTTTTTTCCAAGTGGATTTTAAAGTCCTGCTAATCTTAAGTCCTTCACTGTTACCAACATTTATCAAGATTTTTTTTAATTGGGAGGTGTAGTTTAAGGCCTCCATATAGCTTATGTCACGATTTTCTTTCAGCTCTTCTTTGTCTTCCTCACTGCTTTTCAAGTTATTTTTGTTAAAGCTCACATCATCAACTACAATTGAAATAAAATATTTTAAGTTATTTTTGGTATCTTCAGTACACAAGTTTTCAGAGATTTCTAAAGTTCTTGTCATTTAGCACTGCCACTGATCTGGACGAGTTCGAACAATTTGTTTTCATCAAAGTAGTAGTAGTAGTAGTAGTAGCGTTTTCACTGAGGGCACTCGAAACTAGAAATTCAGAGCCTGTTTTCTTAAAATAATGCTGAATACAACTTTGTGATATAGATTTAACAGTCTCTGTTATCCACTGGATGGCATTCAATACATTGACACATTTCACAGGCAGATTGCTGTTTTTGCAAGCAGCTTGATGAAATACACGGTGTAAAAACAATGTTCTGTTAAGAACTTTGTAGCTTCTGGTTGTACCTTGTTCGAAAGACCATAATATTGATGTAGCATTAGGTAAAAAAAACACTTGTTGCACACATGCACTTGCAATATAATAGACTCGGAACTCGTGGACTGTAATTTTAAGTAACACTTTATTCTCAATTTTACACCGTTCATGGCAACTCGAAGCCACAAATTTTTTCAGAGACTCTTAACTCCCATTCTCATGTAACAAACTCTAAGAGCTCAAGGCGCATGCTAAGACGCAAATATAGATGCACACGCAGATTCAACATACTGCCTGTCTTGACATGATGTAATCATTCAAAATTGTAAATCTTAACAATGAAAATTTTACACAGTGTCACAATACAAAATACAGGTAAGTAATTGTAAACATCAACTACTATAATAAGAACACATATTAATTAATTACAAACATAATTTTACTTTAATTTGGCATAGGTAAAACACAAACTTTATTAATTGATCTCTTAAAAATACCGTTTTTCGTTTTTACTGAAACTACTCTAATCTTATTGTCTTTACCTAAAAATATCTCTACGATTCTGCCAAGAGGCCAGTTACATACAGGAATATTATCAGTCTTTAAAATTACCACAATTCCAACTTTGATATTTTCCCTTTCAAAGAAACATTTAGTTCCTCCTTGCATTGCACTCAAATAGTTATTTTTCCAGTACTCCCATGTTGTTTGCTAGATTTTAGTCAATTTTTACCAGCTCTTTAATCTATTATCATTAACGTTTAAAATATTAGGTTCTGCAACAGCAGTGATACGTTTGCCTATCAGGAAATGGCCTGGTGTCAAGATATCAAAGTCCTCTGGTTTAAATGATAAAGGATCCAAGGGTATAGAATTTAAGATCCCTTCAATTTGAATAATTACTGTAAGAAACTCCTCATAGGTTAGTTTTAAAATTACCTACCACATGTTTCAAATGAAACTTAACAGATTTGACACCTGCCTCCCAAAGACCTCCATGATGGGGAGCTCTAGGGTAAATGAAAGACCAATCAATACTCTCACTCGATAAATAATTACTTAATTCATCATCTGGTTTGCTGACTAGCTTATTTCTTCAATTCTCTGTTACTACCAACAAAATTGGTTATGTTATCTGAAAATATGCATGCACACTTGCCTCTTCTCTGAAAAAATGCTTTAAGGTTGCAATAAATGCTTGACTAGACAGGTCTGTTACCAACTCAAGATGGCAAGCTTTGGTAACAAAACAAACGAAAATGCACACATACACTTTGTTAACGCGATCTTTTCTCTGGTTGGTATTTTATAAAATAAGGGGGGGGGGAATCAACTCCAACGCAATTGAAAGGAAAATTCGGGCTGACTCTTTCTTGAGGGAGTTGACCCATAAGTTGTCGACAGGGCACTGGTTTGGCTTTGAAGCATACGACTCACTTATGTACTATTTTTCTGCAAATGTTGTGCCCATTCAAGGGCCAAAACCCTTGTCTAACAACAGACAGCCAATATGCATGTATTTCTTATGAAACATCACAATAATTAGAATAGTCAACTTATGATTTTTGGTAAGATTATTAGAAATTTTCTCTCAAAATTCAACTTACAATTAGCTAATCTGCCTTTAACTCATAAAATTCCATACTGATCTAAAAATGGAAAAATACATCTTACCTTACTATCTGGAGGTGCCTTACCCTCCTTTTGAAAGCTCGAGATTTCTTTTTTAAGTTAAATATTTTGAATCATCTTAATAAGTTCAGCAAATTTTAATTCAATACTCTGAAGAAGACCGGAAACTTTGTCCTTTCCTTTGCAGTTGTTTACAAACCCTAAAAATAAAACTTAAAACACAAATAATTTTACTGTAATTGTTACTTAAATTTAAGAAATCCTCAATGAAATGGTTAGCTTTTACATTAAGAAAAATATTAGAGTCACTAAGGATTCTAAGTTCATCTGGAAAGTCCTTCATAATGACTTCCTCCGGAATCTTTTTATTTGGATACTCATCGTTTCTCTGGAACAGAGAGCCTTTCCACAACATATTATTTTGTAGAAGTTTACTTGGGTACAAACCTTGGGATATAAGATCACTCAGATTTTTCTTTGATGACACATGACGCCACTGATAATTATTAGTCAACTCTTGAATTGTTGCCATTCGATTTGCAACAAAACTATTCAACTAATAAGGCTCCCTTTGTATCCACGAAAGTACAATCATGAAATCACTCCATAGATACACTTTGTTCACAGGAATCTCTAATGCAGATATTACTCTTAACAATTAATCTTGCAAGTAAGACTGCTGCATAAAGCTCCAGTCTCAGAATAGTAATTCATTTAATATGCGAGATCTGGGTTTACTAGTCACTAGCCTTGTCTCTAAGGTTGCCTGCTTCGTATGCTACCCAGAGGCATCTGCAAATCCATGAAGTTCCACATGGTCTACTTCTGCAGTAAGGATAAACCTTTTAACTTTTATTTTACTTATAACTTCCAATTCAGTAGAGAACTTCTTCCATTCATCAGCTTCCTTTTTTGGTAGTGGTTCATCCGGATTCCACAACCACAACTGTAGGAGGAACATTTTGGCTTTACTTATGATTGGTCCTAGTAAACCAATTGGGTCAAACAATCTTGCAATTGTGGACAATATCTGTCATTAAGTAACAACTATGTCATTATCGAGTTTCACTCCAAAACTGAAAGAGTCTTTCCTAGACCTCCAGGACACTCCCGAGTGTTGTAGATTCTTCATTAGGAAAGGGATAGGTGTGATCATCTTCCGCAAGTTCAGCACAATTACTGCACCTCTTGCAAAGTGTCGTTCCTGCACTCTTCAGTATTGCAGTTAACTGAGATTTAAGCTCCTTAAGCGATAAGCGATAAGCAACGGAGGACGTGGGCACGTCCCTTTACCAAAAGGCTAATCGGTATAGCACCACGTCCACCTATATCTAGAGCCTAAAGAGGAATCACAAGATGCCACGCACCGGGCACCCAAACTCAAGAGCCAAATTCAACCCGGGGGCAGTCCAACAGACCAAATGCCCATGAAAGACAGTCCCAACAACTGCCCAGGCCCCACATTTATTAAATAAAATAACAAAAGCATACAGGGCCAAACAAGGCCGAGTTTTGACAATAAGCAAAAATTTTACAAAGGTGTAATACATACAAATATAGAATATACATAAGCTAAAGTACAGTCTGATGTTGGGCAGCCCAATAATATACAATGAGTAAAATATAGACAGTAGAATTAGACTTAATGACAATATAACATAAAAACAGAGAACATAGTGACATAATGAATGTAAATGATTACAGCAATACACAGAGGATATACCAAAAGAAATAAAAATAAAAGAATACAATAGCCATCAGTGTGTGACTGGAAGTACTGATACATGGGAAATGCGTAAAGCATTCAGAATTCGACTTAATTCAAGACTAACAACTAGATCGGGATACATTGCATAGCCAAGTACATATATTTGACAAAGCAACATATTGAAAGTCAGTGTAATAAACTAGATATTCGCTATGACAAAGTAATGTTACTGTGTGTGTGTGATTATGGCAAAGTCTCGAGGGCTATCTGCCTAAGAGGGAGGACTTTCTAAGGGAAACTGGCTCGTATACACGTTACACATGGGCAAAACCACAAAAACGCCCATGCAGCCAGCCCGTTCGCGGGATTCGAACCTCAGACCGAACTACCAGTGTTCAGCAATTTTATCGCTCGGCCGCTGGTGGGCTCAAAGTCATGTTACAATACCGCAAGTAGTGATGTGATACAGAAGAAGTTGGTAGCGTACAATATAATTTGATCTCGGTACGCATTCAATCCCTATAGTACAGCAATAGTTAGGAAAAAGGAATATGTTATACAAAATATATTTAGCATGCAACTGCGTTTAAGATATACAAAGGTTGATACATTGGTTACTACCAATTATGGTACAGGACTCGTACCACACTTAGTAACAGAATGCAATAGCGGTACAATACAATTGATCACGTGGTATTGAGGGAAAAACATGCAATAAGGTTAGTTATACGATTATGAGGAATAAAAATAACATATT